TCTGTCTCTTACACTGTCATCAGACCGTAAGCCTTAAATCTCTTGGCAGGAGTGTGTGGTGCAGTATTATAATGACCTATAGGTCACCCCCATGACCTAGAGCAGTGGTTCTCAACCTTCCTAATGCTGTGACCCTTTGATTCGGTTCCTCATGTTGTGGTTACCCTTGAACCATAAAATTATTTTGTTGCTGTAGTTTGCTTCTGTTAATTATAATGTAAATATCTGATATGCAGTGTATACGATATGTGTGTGACCCCTGTGAAAGGGTCGTTTAATCCCTGAAGGAGGGAGTTGTAACCCACAGAACAGGTGACTGGAATTAGTGGATTTCGTGTGGGGTGGGGAAGGTCATTCCAGGGGCTTCTTGGCCAGTTTGCCCTTTTCACATGCTAATTTTGTGCGGTTTCCCTGGCCTCACTCTGGTACTCTCCAGTATCCTGTGGCCCAATCCTGAGGAAGGGCAGAGCCCTCCCTGCCCACAAGCTTCTGTCAGAGTTCCCTGACTGTAAGGTCATGGCCCACCTCTAATGTGGGGTAAGTGTCTCTTTATTTCAAACAAACAAACAAACAAATAAATTAAGATGGGTCTCACTGTAGCCTTGACTGACCCAGAACTCAATAGATAGACCAGGTTGTACTCAAGTTCATGGGGCCTGCCTCTGCCTCCCGAGTGCAAGAATTAAAGGTATACACCATGATGCCTGGCAAAATAAAATTGATTTGTTTTTATTTTATGTGATCAGTGTTTGCTTGTACGTATGTCTGTGTACCATGTGCATGCCTGGTTCCTGGAGAAGCCAAAAGAGGACACCAGTCTCCTAGAACTGGAGTTACAGATGGTTGTGATCTGACGTATGGATGCTAGAAACTGAACCTAGGTCCTCTGTAAGAACAGCCAGTGCTCTTAACCACTGAGCTGTCTGAGCCGGCCCTGTGTCTCTTTCACTTACCTGTTCCTTTCAATATATGCATTGATCATTCACCAGGCTTTTCCTAAGGTTTAAAGTTTAGATGAAGTGCCTGTCCATCTGTGTCACTGACAGCTCCCCTGCAAGTCCATGGGACAGTGACAGAAGCCTGGTCAAGACATGGAGCAAAGGTTTGCATTCTCAAAGGACTTGTATGTGCATGTGTGTGTGTGCCAGAATTAAAGTTATAAGCCATGATGCCTGGCAAAATAAAATTGATTTTTATTTTATGTATATGAGTGTTTGTTTTACGTGTATCAAGTATGCCACAGCTTGAGTGTAGAGGTTCAAGGACAATCTCAACTATTGACCCTTACCTTCCACCTTGAAACAGGGTCTCTTGTTCATGACTATGAAGGCCAGGCTAGCTGGCCCTAGAGTTTCTGGCTCATGCCCCAGCACCTGATTTTATTTGGATTCTAGGGATCGGAACTGAGGTCCACAGACTTACATGCAAACGCTTTACCCACTGAGCCTTCTCTTCAGTCCAGGACAGAGCTTTTGAATGGTGATGTAAGCTCTCCAGGAGGAATGGGACAGGGTAAAGAAAAGAATTCTGTACAAGAACAGCACAAGCAATGGCCCAAAGAAGCTGAAGGAGAAAGACTGAGACATGGTCGGGCAGCCACCCTTTGATCAGCTTCGTTAGAATGTTCCAGTGCATTCTGTGATAGGGAAAGTGAAGGCTGAGGGACGTATGGCTTGTCTTGATACCCGGGAAGCCAGGACAGAGGTCACCTGACTGCTCCGGGAATGAACAATTGAAATCCCAGCTCCAGCTGAAGTCATCCCCAGTCAGGGGAAACACTGAGGACAGATGTTGACTAGGTAACAGTCAGGAGACAGAAGTAGCAAGACAAGGTGGCTCCCGGCTCCACAACACAGCGATCTGGGATGGGTGTGGATGAGCCACCATCTTGAGACTGAAAACCTAAGGGGAAAGACTGGTCTGGGGAGAAGATGATGAACCTTGTTGTTGTGAATGAGGCATTTGCAAGTTGTCGGAGAGGAAATAGCTACCTGGACAGGTAAGCTGAACCCTCTGGGCTTCAGTTGCCCCAGCTGTAAAGTGATGGGACACACTGCTAAGGCTTCAGCTATAGAATGCTGAGTTTCTCAGATCTAGGCTCCTACTTGACTCCTTGATCAGACCAGGGAGGACCTTCACCATGGAGACTCCCAATTCTTTGCTTTCTGAGCTCACCATTACCCATCATCTGTCCTGCCTAGATCCCTTCATCCCAGGGCTGGGAACAGTGACATTGGAACAGAGAATCACTCCTATGGACCATGTTTGCCTCTGTTTGTGATGGCAGCTGAGGGGAGGCTGAAGAGCCGCTCGTGGTCTATCTGCTTTTCTCTTCACCTCCTTAGTGGAAATGATGGGGAGAGAATGATCTCCCGTGAGGTATTTACTCACTGGCACTTGGCTTCAGCAAGCGCCTGCATCCCAGCCCAGCTGCAGGCAGGATGCCGGTAGCAGTCCGCAGCAGTGACTGTACAGTCCACCTCACAGGCACTAGTTTTGAAATCGAAACTTTAGGAAATACAATGATAATTTTCCAATGATTTATATTTATTTTACATGCACTGGTGTTTTGCCTACTGGTATTTCTGTGTGAGGGTGTCAAATGACCTGGAACTGGAGTTACAGGCAGTTGTAAGCCACCATATGGGTGCCAGGAATTGAACCTGGGTCCTCTGGAAAAGCAGCCAGTGCTCTTACCTGGGGAGCCATCACTACAGCTCCTTACCATTGCAGAACATTCCTTTACACTGTGTGGAGATGTGTCACCGTGATTGGTGTAATAAAGAGCTGAATAGCCAAAAGCCAGGCAGGAAGAGGTTAGGCGGGACTTCTGAGGACAGAGAGGCCCCTGGGAAGAAGAAAGGCAGAGTTACCAGTCAAATGTAAAGGAAGCAGGATGGGCTGTACAGAGAAAGGTAAGGCCATGTGGCAGAAAGTAGGTTAATTTAAATGGGTGAGCTTAAGTTGTAAGAGCTGGTTGGAAACAAAGCTGAGCTATGACAGAGCCTTCATAATAAGTCTCCCCATGTTATCTGTGAGCTGGTGGCCCAAGGGAACTCCAGCTACAGTCTGCAGTGCTAATTTTTAAGAAGGTTGATGGTTGTACCCTATGCTACCACCACAGTATAGCAAAAAGTTTTAACCAAATTGTTGGGGCCTCTTTCCCTATGGTAGGATGCTGTGCTCAGCCTTGATGCAGAGGGGAGGGACTTGGTCCTGCCCCAATTTAATGTGCCAGGCTTTGTCGACTCCCCATGGGAGGCCTTATCCTTTGGGAGCAATGGATAAGGGATGAGCTGGAGTGGGGAGAGGGAGGTGAGGGGGGACAGGAGGAGGGGTGGGAGGGAGAACTGTGGCTGGAATGTAAAATGAATAAAAAATAAACAAAAAAACCCAAAATTGTTGGGGCCTTATCATTCATAGCGGATTTTGTGTTACCTCACAAGCAACTCTGTGTTTAAGAATTTGTCATTAAGAATCTGACAGGCAGTAGTGGCACACACCTTTAATCCCAGCAGCTGGATTTTTGTGAGTTTGAGGCCAGCCTTATCTACAGAGTGAGTTCCGGGACAGCCAGGGCTAGGCAGGGAAACTCTGCCTGGAAAAATGAAACAAAATAATAATAATAATCTGGCCCAAAATGATGATCATGGTGACAAAGGTATTGCACTGGGTTTTACTGCTTAACCATCCGGCATGCAATTATTAACTGAGGCTTTCTATCATGCCCAGTTCCTACAGTCATTAAGTCTCAAAGAAATTACACAGAGGTCTACATTAACAATAAACTGATAAGCCCATTAGCTCAGGCTTCTTATTAACTCTTATAACTTATATTAGCCCATTATTCTAGTATATGTTAGCCACATGGCTCAGTACCTTTTTCAGTGAGGCAATCACATCTTGTGGCTGGACCAGGACTCCCAAGGAATGGGTTTCCTTCTTCCCAGAATTCTCCTGTTCTCATTGATCCGCCTCTACTTTCTGTCTGGTTGTTCCACCTATACTTCCTGTCTGGTTGTCCTGCCTATACTTCCTGCCTGGCTCCTGGCCAATCAGTGTTTATTTAAAATATAATTGACAGAATACAGACCATTCTCCCACACCACTTCCCCCTCTTTTTTTTTCTTAAACAAGGAAAAATATCCATAGTCCATTTTTTTGGAAATGTGAGCATAGTTTTCCAGGCTACTTCCTGATGGTTGGGGTGCTGATAATCGTATGGGGACCTAAAGAAAATTTATAATTATAATCCAGTCCTGACTGGAATATCCTATGAGGTTTGATCATCTCAGGCAGCATCTTGAACCTGTTCTAGATGTAGAACTCTGACATATGGACCATCTGTTTGGACCAGATCTCATAATCCTTTGGTTTTATTTTGACTCTTTAAAACTTTTCTTAAGGTATAAATACTATCTTGAAATGTATAAGATTATTATATATATTTAAGCTTTCTGTCATGATTCTAATGGTCATATATAATACTAACTAATTCTAGAAATCTAGCTTCCTGTTGATGATTTCAGGCTTGACTTTGAAACAGGTAACTAGGAACTAAGTTTGTGTACCCTGGATATATTTAACAGATTATGATCTTTTAACCTCTTGGAGATCTGCTGCATGTGACATTAAATTAAGCTTTCTGCAGTGAACCATGACCATCTCTAGCAGTGACCTTTGAGGTCTCCTGTAGGGAGCCACCTGGAGAAATCGCCATTATAAGATGGCGCAGGTGGTCCTGCAGCTTGGAGGTAAACAAATCCCTTTGATGTTGCCATGTGGGGCTGAGCACCCTTCGCCCACATTTGCATAATTGAGCCTTGTCCCTAGCCAATCCCGAGGCCCCAGACACCAGCAGAATGGTATTCACCAATCAGGACAGTATCTGAGTCCCTCCTCCCTATAGAAGCAGCTGCCACTTGGGCCTCTTTCTCTTTCGCTTTCTCTCTCTCTTCTTGCTCTCTCTCTCTTCTCATTCTCTCTCGCTTCCTGCTCTCTCTCGCTTCCTGCTCTCCCTTCAACCAAGAGGCTCCAATAAAGTGTGATTTGAGAAGAATCCTCGACTTCGTGGTCATTCTTCCTTGCTGGTCAAGGGGTGCACCACAGTCTCCAGGAAGATAATGGCACCCTGCAACAACAAATCCACCTGGATTATGGTAATTCCCCTAAACCGACAAACACCACCCAAGATCAGCTTTGGACACACACTGCATCAGGACAGCTTCAAAGTGGTTAGCTAAGATGGTCAGGTCTCACAAACTCCTCCAGTTGGGACATCGGATAAGCCCTGCACTTTCCTCTCACACTGAGACTGAACAATAGCTAGCTCTCCTAGGACTTGACCATTACCTAAGTTTTCCCAGGGTCCCTTAAAGGTGCAGTTTTCCCCAGACAACAGGAAGAAATTTTAAGAACATGATGCCCACATTCCCAAAAGGTGGGATGGGTGGGTTTTAGTCCTTTAGTGGATTACGGACGTATATCTTCATTTAAGGGGTTGGTTGCAAGTTGTTTTTGGTCAGAGAGGAAACTAAGCAAAGGAGATTAGATTCAGTAATCTTGTTCTAAAAAGAAAAAGGGAGGGATATAGGAATAATAGGGGAAAAGGTAGATTATTGAATTTTCTTTTTAACCAAAAAAAATCTATTAATCTCAAATATTTTACATGTTGTAAAAGGAGTGGCTGTGTTCCCACCCGGCTCCCGGCCGCCTGGCTAGCTTATACCCTGAAATAACAACACACAAATTGTATTCATTTAAACATTGCCTGGCCAATTAGTTCTAGCCCCTTATTGGCTAACTCTCACATATTAGTTTAACCCATCTCCATTAATGTGTATTGCCACTTGACTGTGGCTTACTGGCATGAGTCTAACAAACATTCATCTCAGAAAGGAGAACCATGGCATCTGCCACACTGCCTTCTTCCACCCAGAATTCTGTTCTGTCTACCACACCCATCTAAGGGCTGTCCTATCAAAAGGCCAAGGCAGTTTTCTTTATTCAACCAATGAAAGCAACACATAGAAAGAAGACCACCCTACACCATTACATTGGTATGGATTTTTGTACAATGATACAAATTTAAGGTTATTTTGTTATACCATATATATGTTTCTGCATATATTTGTTTATATGTAGTTATTTAAAGGTATTGTACCTATGCAACTCATTGAACAATGTAATGTAAAGTTCTAGTCCTTGAAAATTATTATTACTATTTAGGATAATTAAGAAATGAGGGATGTGGCTGGAGAGATGGTTTAGAGGTTAAGAGCATTGGTTGTTCTTCCAGAGGTCCTGAGTTCTATTCCCAGCAACCACATGGTGGCTCAAAACCATCTATATAAAATAATATCTGGTGCCCCCTTCTGTTATGTAGGCAGAAAACTGTATACATAATAACTAAGTATTTAAAAAAGGAAATGTAGGTTAAGGCCAGGCAGTAGTGGTGCACATCTTTAATCCCAGCACTCATGAGGCAGAGACAGGTGAATCTCTATGAGTCTGAAGCCAGCCTAGACTACAGAATGAGTTCAAAGACAGGTTCCAAAAGCTACAGAGAAATCCTGTCTTAGTAAATAAATAAATAAATGTGGGTTAGTAGTGAGTCATCTATAACAATCAAATTTGAAGCCATGTTAGGTATGTTTTCAAGGTCAAACAGATATATTTTAGATAGATAAATGATCTTCAAACACTTCAAAGACCTACAGAATATGGCACTTAAAATGTTTCAGTAACATAAGGCTTTTCATGACAGTGAAAAATATCTACTTCTGGCAGAACCAATTTACTTCAATAAAGGATGATGGTCATCAAAGAACCTTCACATGGAGTTTGCTTTCACTGTGATAAAGTTAGTCACTGGGCAAGAAACTGCCTTTGCTTTGCCTGCTGACAGTATGCTGTCCAAACTGGCCAAGCAGGACACAGAAAAAGGCAATTATCAAACTTTTCCAAGACAAAGAATAACAGCCTTTCAAAATTCCTGCTTCACAAAAATGTTCTGTTGGGTATTCTAGGTCTGTAAGCTGAGGATGCTGCAACATGGCAGAGGAAACTCAGGTGACTTTCCAGGCAGCCGGCTGCTCCAGCCATTTCTATAGTTTTGTAAGATGTTTGCTTTGTTTGCACTTCCTGTTTACTCAGGTAGTATTTTATCCTTCTCCAGTCTCTGATGAACCTGAAGACAAGATAGTTCTCCTTGTTAACCAAATTCAGAAAAGAAACCCACAAAAGAGGTGTAAAGTGTATAAGGTTGAGAGACATAAAAGCTTAAATAGTTTATCTAAGAAAATGTTTTGAGTTCTAAAAAGAGGGCTTTTGGTTGGTAATACAAGTTAAGATTAAAAAGTGAATTAGGTACAAACTTTAGACTAACCAAGATAGGATAGATAAGAGTGTTTTCTTCAAATTTGCCAAGTACAAATGGACTGGACATTGTGAATATAATTCTTACTTGGCAATTATTCTTATTGTACATAGTTTTACTGTGTTAGAGTTAAAACCCTTCCTTTTTACTTAGACAAAAATGGGAAATGTTGTGAGATATTGGTTGACACTGACACTTCTAGACTGATAATGAAGTTTACCTTGAACTTCAACAATTGGCTGACTGAAATTATCATAGAGGTTTTGGAGGACTGAGATGCGGATCACAGGAAATAGATGGGAGGGTCTTGGGAAAGATGAGCAGTCTTTTGGATCTGGAAGTGTGGAGAGGCAGGGCCAGCTGATTGTTCCTCCATCACTCTTTGGAGCTATCAGATTTTTACCCTAATACCTGGATCCTGAGTTTTATTTAGTAATAGAACAATATAAGTAATCACTTCAGTTGTGTTGACCATTGTGTCAAGTTGACAATTCAAACTAACCTCAGACAGAGGAAAGAGAACCCAGGGTCCTGTCTACCAGTTTTATCTTACTGATACTCACTGATACTCACTGATGCTCACCGGTACTCATTGATACTTGTTGACACTTGCTGATACTCATTGATACTCACTGATAAAAGAATTTTTAAACAGAAGGAAAATTGAAGACAATTTTACCAGATTTTGGCAGAAAGAAAAGAAATAAAGAAAAAAAGCAAACAGAAAACAGAGCAGATTGGGGAGAGATATCAGTAGTGATTAGGAGGGGATGGAAAAGTTAGAAAAAAAAATGTCATGATGTCTGAGTTAGAGGCTGGGAACACGAAGCAGGTATGTGGGGGAAGGAGGGTTTCAGAGAAAGGGAGCTACCACCAGTGTCGGGGCTTAGGATTTGGGTAGAAGTTAGAAAAGGGGAGAAAATGTTCCACTTTCTGAGTTACAACTTAGAATGCAGGCAGACTTAGTGCATGGAGGTAGGAGAAGGGTTCCTAAGGCAGATAAGTACATTTCTCACTAAGGGACAGCTAACATGTCCTCGTGACCTGCCTTAGCATGTGGCAAGTTTTTACCGTTGACTTTGTAGTTCTCTCAAGGTTGTATAGACAATTTTCTCTTCCAGCGGGTCTTCAGTCTGGCCTGAGCTAAGAAGTTTCTGCTATCTTCTTTGGAGGGCATCATCAAACACGGACCAAGCTATTTGCAAAGGGGTTACTGTCCTTTCACTGTGCTGGTTGTGTCAGAGGAGGTCACAAGTCACAAGTCAGTATTTATGTCTCAGAAGGGTCTGCTGATGTCTGAGGCACCTGCTGGCTTCATGAGGCAGGATCTTGTCAGGCAGGGGTCATGCCATTTCACTGGTTGGAGCTGGCATAGCTCACATTGTATTGCACACGGGGCCTTGGAAGAACTTGGCCGGATATGGCCCTCATTCTTCCTTCCTGCTTTCTCAACATCCATGTGTATCCTCCCATCTCCAGGGGCCAACATCAGCAACAAGCTACTCACCCTGGAGAAGAGCTGGGGGAGAGAGGCCACAGGCACCCATTGCATCAGACTGTGACTTCAGGAGGGGAACTGAGCCGCCCTGGGAGTCCCTCTGCTGGAGAGCAAAGGGAAAGCCAAAAGAAAAGAAAGGCCACAGGAGATAAACAAACACAGGAGAGAGCCACACCATGCGTTGGAATGTGGACTTTATCCAGAGGATATGAAAACACAAGTAAGGCTATTACTTGCTAGTAGAGAAAGCAAAACAAATGACTGGAGACTCGGGAGGAGGGGAGTTTCAATTTCACGTACAAAGTCAACCTGATCTCTGAATTAAAACATTGTTATTGGTTCAGATATTCAAAAACAGAAATTATTTTTAAACATGTCTGGGAATGATCCTACCTACCTTAAGTCAGGCCGTCACTGGGCCTGGGGTAAACAAAACAGCAGTAGGCAATCTTACCTGACTCCATATAGCAGGTGTTTTTGAAGTTTCATGGCCGATAATGACCGTAGATTCTCCACGTCAAAAAATGTATAAACAAGCTGGAGAGACCATGCCGTGGCGAACAGTGTCTGCTGCTCTCCCAGAGGACATGGGTTTGATTCCCAGCACCCACATGGTGGTTCACAACCATCTGTAACTCCAGGGCATCTGACTCCATCTTAAGGCCTCTGTGGGCACTAGGCACATGCAGTACACACACATACATATGTGCCAGGAACACACTCACACACCTTAAGTAAACTTCCAAAAAGATATGTAAACAAGTAATTAACTTGTATGTTATAATGACTGTTTTTCTAGAGATTGGCAATTAGGGTCCATGTGGAGGACTGAGTAGCTTAGGCTGCCTGAAAGATCTAAGGGAGAGAGCATATAAATGGGGTTTTGAAGATTAAAATAGAAGTTTCAAAAATAAAAAGCAGAGGTGTCACAACGTATAAAAGTGAAATAGCCAGGTGGTAGTGGAGCACACTTTTAACCCCAGCAGAGTAAGTTCAAGGTCAGCCTGGTCTACAAGAGCTAGTTCCAGGACAGGCTCCAAAGCTACAGAGAAATCCTGTCTCAAAAAGCCAAAAAATAAAAAAGATAAAGAAAAGAAAAGAAAAGAAAGAGAAAGAAAGGAAGGAAGGAAGGAAGAAAAGAAAGAAAGAAAGGAAGGAAGGAAGGAAG